TATGTCAGTCCTGGAGCTTAAACTCAGGGCCTAGGCACTGTCCCTGAGCCTTTTGTGCTCAACGTTAGCACTCTACCACTTGAGCCACAGCACCATTTCTGACTCTTGGTGGTTAACTGTCTGATGAGTCTCACAGACATTCCTGAGCAGGCTGGCTTCCTCAGATGAGTAGCTAGGATTACAGGTGTGAGCCACTGGCTTAGAAATTCTTTAACATGGCATTCTTTTCTTGATCAGAGAAACAACAATTTTCCTATGAAACAAGAATAAAATTAGCCTATTATTTATAAAACTAATGTTGGATATAGTTTACGCCAAGTATTAAGATCCTTAATTAAAGCCAGGCGGAACAGTACATGCCTGTAATCACAGCTACTCAGGAGGCTGAGGCATGAGTGTAGCAAGTAAAAAAAAAAAAGTGAAATTTTTTTCCACTTGGGCAAGATGAAGGCAGAGACAGGAGTGCTTGAATTAGAGGAAGTCCTACTGATAGGAGAACAGGTAAGGCATATAGAGTATGCCTACAGAAAGGAAAAACAAACAAAAACAAAAAGGTCACTATCTGATTTTAAGCCAAACCCCTCTAACTTGGCCCAACCAAGACAAAGCAGAACTGATTTTCCACAGAACACAGGATGCATAGATTTGATATTTATTTTCCCACAGTTACTTTTTTGTTAATGTGTGTGTGTAACCCAGGCTGACCTCAAATTCAAAATTCTCCTGCTTCAGCCTCTAGGGTGCTGAGATTACAGATATGCCCCACGATGCCCAATTTATTTCAGATTGCAATCCCCAAATGAGCTACGTGATGGGGGCTCTTACCTAGAATTCTAGCTAACTACTCAGAAGGCTGAGATCTGAGGGTTGAGGTTCGAAGATAGCCCAGGCAAGAAAAGACTGTGAGACTCTTATCTCTAATGAACCAAAAGTTAGGAAGTGGAACTGTGGCTCAAGTGGTAGAGTGCTAGCCTTGAGTGAAAAAGTTAAAGGCCAGTGCCCAGGTCCTGAGTTCAAACTCCAGTGTTGGTACACACACACACACACACACATTCTCTCTCTGTATCATAGTAGTTCCACATAAAATACCTCCTTTAGTGACAGAGTCATGTCTCTTTGCGTAACTCGATTGTCAATCCCGGGAAAAGGGCAAGGAGAAGAACTTGGTACTCAAAGCCTTGGGTCTAATTTCTGGCTCTGGTACTTATGGCTAGGGGTTACCTACTCAAGCGGTCATAATTTCTGAGTCTTAGGTCACTAAGAGACTCCGGAATAGAGCCTAACTTCATCCTTGTCTCTCGGACAGCGGTCTTGTCGGAACCAGAAAATTCCACCGTTCCTAACGTCGCGGTGCACCCTTGCGTCCCAGACTTTGCAGCCCCCTCAACTTCACCCTCCCGCCCACAACTCGCGCACGCACTGCGCAGCACCCGAAGAATCCGCAGGCGCTGGCGGACCGCCCACAGCCTGACCCTCCTTATGTAGGCCCGCCTTTCCCCGCCTCCCAGCGCCCTGCTTCCCCGGTGATTGGACGAGGGCTCTGTCAGTCCTAACCCCCGGGCTCCGCCCCCTCTTCGCCACCCACTAGACCGTAGCTCCCTTCTCTCCCGGTACCCCGCAGCCCTCCCGGTCCATTTCTGCCCTGGGGTCGCGGGGGCACCTCGCCCTGGCCCCAGCCCAGGCGCAGGCCCCTCCTCCTGTCCTCGCCCCACCTCCGGGCCCCTCTCCCTGTTCTCTGGGGCTCGGCGCCGCACAGCTCGGCTCCCCCGCGCGCAGCCTGGCCGCGCTCCTCCGCCCCTCCCTCCCGGCACCGCACAGACGTCTCGGGCGCCCGGGCCAAGCGCGCGGCGCGCGGGGGCATGCGCTCCATGAGGGCTCTGCAGAGCGCGCTAAGCCGGGCGCGCGGGCACGGCCGGCGGGGAGGCTGGGGTCACCCGAGCCGGAGCCCGCTCCTCGGCGGGGGCGTCCGGTGCCACCTCAGTGAGGCCGCGGCGCGGGGCCGGGAGACGCCGCGCAGCCACCAGCCGCAGCACCAGGATCAGTAAGGCTCGCGGGACGGGGGCAGGGGCCCGGCTCGCTCCCACTCCCGCGGTGGTTCTCGCTCGCTCCCGGGGAGCCCCCTTCCCCAGGCAGCGCTCTCCCCTCCCCGCTCTCCTCGCTCACTAGCCTGCGATGCCTTTTCCTTTAGATTTGGGGCTTTGGGTCCGCCGCGCTCGGGCGGTAACGTGCCCGCCGCCCGGGAGGGCGTTTGGGCAGGTCGGTCTACGAGATGGTGCCTGTCCAAGGTGCGTAATGAAACCCCGGAACGCAGATGGGCGCCGAGTGTTGTTTGGTGCACGTGTCTGAATGCGGGGCCGTGTGCACACACCCGCCCATCCCTCACGTTTCTTCGCCTCCCCGGTGGCGCTCGCTCGCGTGTCTTGTAGGGGATGCATGGGGATGGAACAGCTTCCTGCCCCTGGTCCAAGTGCACTCGGGTCCTGTCTGTTTCTGCGCGTCCTTGGCGCGGGGACTGAGAGCTGCGCGCGTTATTATTGGTGCGCAGGTGCGCACAGATCTGTTGGGTGTGTTCGCGTAGCAGGTCTCCCTCATCTGTAAAATAAGGATGGTTTTCCAAATGGTCTTTGAGTGGAGAGAATATTTCTAGTTTATGGTAGGATTCGAGTCATACAGACGCAGATTTCCGAAACCAGACGTCAGACTTGGTTATTGGTACCTGTCAGGCTTCCTGATTGAGAAAGGTTGCCTTCCTCTGGGCACATCTTCCGTCCTGGAGACTGAACCTCTCTTTCCTTCACTAACCAGGAGTACTTGGTGGCTGTGCCTTCTTTTCTCCAAGATGCATAGTGCTGGAGCAGGAAATCTTATCCTTCCCAGAAGTCCAGCTAGACCCTGTCCAAGTAGCTCCTGCTTTTTTATTTTTATTTTTATTTTATTTTTTTTGGTCGGCCGTGGGGCTTGAACTCTGGGCCTGGGCGCTGTCCCTCAGCCCTTCAGCTCAAGGCGAGCGCTCTACCACTTGAGCTACAGCGCCACTTCCGGTTTTCCGGGGGGTTATTGGAGATAGGAGTCTCATGGTCTCTCCTGCCCGGGCTGGCTTTGAACCGTGATCCTCAGATCTCAGCCTCCTGAGTAGCTAGGATTACAGGCGTGAGCCACCAGCGCCCGGCTTATTTTTATTTTTATAGCAGTCACATCTTCCCTGTCATTGACATCTACCTGATGACATTTAGAAACACATATACACCATAATTAAAGTAGTCAGACTGACAAAGCACTACCTCACCACCGCTGGAGTCCTTGTCCTGAGAGGTAAAACACCAATAAGTATTATTTATTATTAGTCATTACTATGCAGTATTTTCCATCAGCATCTTCTCAAAGAGATGTGGAATACTGAAAGACGTTCCTGTGCCAATCTCCAGCCCACTTCCTCCCATAGACTGGAAGTGGGACAGAGCAAAGGCTTCACCTCTCTCACCCTTCCACTTTGTTTGGGGTGATCACGGTAGAGGTATCATCGCTGGCTTCCTACACACACTCTCTCTAGTGGGATCAGTGATGGAATGTATCTAGGAAACTAGTTTTTCTTGCTTAGAGCTGCTTATGCTGGTCTTGCACAGGTACACCCTGGGCAGAGAGGAGTTGACCCCCCTAAGGGGAATAGATTCTGGGAGTGTGATGTCTTGAGGGGGAAGATCAGCAAAGAGGAAATGCCCTGAAATTCAAATTGCTGTTTTTTTGTCGGTTGTGGGGCCTGAACTCTGGGCCTGGGTGCTGTCCCTCGGCTCTTCAGCTCAAGGCTAGCGCTCTACCATATGAGCCACAGCGCCACGTCCGGCTTTTTTTTCTTTTTGCTTATGTGGTGCTGAGGAATTGAACCCAGGGCCTCAGGCATGCAAGGCAAGCGCTCTACCACTGAGCCAGCTTCCCAGCCCTGCTCTTTTACTTTTAAATTATATTGGTGAGTGACCTCTGAGTGATAGGTCTTCTTTTTTTTTAAGATTTTTGAGACATTCAAACGTGACATGGCATTATTTCTAGTCTTCCATCAGCAGAGATCTAACTGCAAAGTTCTTCCCAACTCTCCTCTGCAGTTAGTTCTGATAGCTTTTTCCCTCTCTTCACTATTGGCACTAGTGTCATTGTGACTTATTGGAGTTCCCCAGAAATAGAAACACTGTCCCTGTTCTGCTGTTCTTCCTGGCTACAAACGCACATGGGTCTAGGCTATGACAAGCTCCTTGAGAGTCTTTGTTTATTTGATGTTCTAGTGTTTAGACTCAGAGCCTCATGCTTGCTAGGCAGGTCCTCTACCATTTGAGCCATAACCCCAGTCCCAAGAGTCTATTTTTAGTGTACTATTTCAAGAGACAATCTAACCAAATAGTTCAAAATTAAAAATACACAAACTAGCCTTTGTGAAAAGTATTCCTTCCAACCTAACACTTTTTTTTTGGCCTAATGCCTACTTTACTTCTTATTTCTAGTTGTGTTAGTATTTTTTTTTCTTTTTTTGGTCTTTTGTACCTTTTTCCCCCCCAGAGCTGAGGACCGAACTGCACTTGCCAGGCAAGTGCTCTTCCATTGAGCTAAATCCCCAGCCCCTTCACTTCTTATTTCTTATCCATATAAGCAAACACATATGTATTCCCCCCCGTGTGTGTGTGTGTGTGTGTGTGTGTGTGTGTGTGTGTGTTATAGCTTTTTCACTCAAGGCCGGTGCTCCACCTGAGTCACAGCTTTTTTTCTGGCTTTTTTCTTTCTTTTTCTTCTTCTTTTTTAAGTAGCTTAGTTGATAAGAGTCTCACAGACTTTCCTGCCTGAGCTAGTTTCAAACTGTGATCCCCAGATTTTAGACTCCTGAGTAGCTAGGATTACAGACAGGAGCCACTGGTGCATGGTTCTAATTTCATTCTTAATTCTGCATAATAGTTTATTATGTAAATATATGATAAATTGCCTACCTAGTTCCATAATAATGTACATTCAGGTTATTTCCAATTTTATTATTTCTAACAATGCAGTGAATAACTGTGAATATGGTACTCTGTAGGTATATGAGTGTACCTGCAGGATAAATTCCTAGAAGACAAGATTGTTGGATCATAGGACTTTGAGAGTGTCTTAATCTCAGTTATGGCTCATATTTGGAAATGATCTGATAAAGTAATTCCTCTAAATTTGTTACTATGTTAATAGAAGAACTCTTGAAGACGAAGAAGACATTTGATGGTTTAGGAATGTTAGATGTTACAAACCAGTGGAAAAGACATTTGGGGCAGTGGGCCCTTCCTAGCAATGTAACTTGGTAATTATTATTAAAGAACCCACTATGTGCTAGAGACTTTGCTCATTGCTATGAAGACAAAGATGTATAAAACACAAAGACTAGCAGTGGAGCAAGGGAGTACTGACATTAAAGATGGTACGTGAGACAAAAGGCAGCACAAGCAAAATCTGGAGTTTAGGGAAGGTTAAAGTTGGTAACATTTGACCTGGACCTTGAAAGATGAGTAGGACTGTGCGAGATGAAGAGAAAAGTCATCACATGTAAAGGTAAAGCATAGCAAACGCCTGTCCCATTTGAGGTACCATCTCTTTACTAGAGTGTGGAAGAATGGTGAGCTACAGGAAAGGAAGGATGGAAGGTTTTAAAGACCCTCAAATGTCATACCAAGAATTAAGAATTATCTAGGTGTGGGCTGGGAATGTGGCTTAGTGGTAGACTGCTTGCCTAGCATGCATGAAGCCCTGGGTTTGATTCTTCAATACCACATACACAGAAAAAGTGAGAAGTGCTGTGGCTCAAGTAGTAGAGTGCTAGGCTTGAGCAAAAGAAGCTTAAAGACAGTGCCCAGGCCTTGAGTTCAAGCTCCAGGACTGGCAAAAAAAAAAAAAATTAGATGGGTGTGGTGGTGCACTTCAATAATCCTAGCACCTGGGATGCTGAGGCAAGATGATTTAAGAGTTTGGGTAGCTAGCTTGAGCTACACAGTGAGACCCTGCCTCAAAGAAATAAAGAATTTACTCTAGGTACTAGGGAGCTATGATAGGAAATGCATAGGAGTAAGAAGGTGTGATGATTCATGGTTGGATATGTTTCAATGCCTGTGGAAGTGTCTAGAAGGCAACTGGCAATAAAGGCCTGAAAGTCAGAAGTAAAAAAAGGCTAGAGAGTGATAGATCCATCTCTCAAGGAAGAGACATGGAATGACATTCACCTAATTATAAACTCATGTTCAGGGAGGAGGAGCAGGGAGTTCTCAGGCTCCTGTCCTCCTCCTATTTCTGCCTCCAAACAGTGATTCATCAGAGAGTGGCATGCTATCCCGCCTCGGTGATTTGCTCTTCTACACGATTGCCGAGGGACAGGAACGAATCCCTATCCACAAGTTCACTACCGTAAGTTACTCTGTCTCTTCAGAGCTCTAAGCCCTTAGAATCTTTGGAAGTGAGCCGGGTGCTGGTGGCTCACACTTGTAATCCTAGCTCCTCAGGAGGCTGAGATCTGAGTATCATGGTTCAAAGCCAGCCTGGGCAGAAAAGTCTGTGAGACTCTTATCTCCAATAAACCACTCAGAAACCAGAAGTGGTGCTGTGGCTCAAGTGGCAGAGCACTCGCCTTGAGCTGAAGAGCTGAGGGACAGCGCCCAGGCCCTGAGTTCAAGACCCACAACCAACAACAACAACAAAAAAAAATCCCGGAAGTGGAGAAAGGAGGATGCAGGTACAGGTGAAGGGCAATTAGTTGGTAAGTTGCTATGTGAGGATGAAGAAGACAGATGTAGTACCAGGTGCCTAGGCTGAAGAGACAACCCAACCCCTGTCTAAAGGCCAGGAAACGAAACACTAACAATGAAAAAAAAA